CCCAATAAAACTATGAAGTATAAGGACATGTGTTTTTTCTCAGGTAAAATTAATAAACTTATGGGGGAATATAAATAAAAAACGACATATATAAATAGCAACTTTGTTACAAATAACAGTCACATTCCAAACGAAATTATGTCAAGCATTTAGCCACCTGCTAAAATCTGAGCATGAACTTTCCACAAAATATTTGCCAGCTTGGGAAATATTTTTAGTTGAAATTCCCCATTTCGAGTTTGGCCGCAATAAATATTTAAAAGGGGAGCAAAAACTGGTGAAATGAATATTTATACGCGGGTATAAATGAAAGTCACGTTCAAAACGAAAATATGACGTTACGTTTATTTTTGACACCTATTAAGATCTTAGTATCAGCTCTCGCCGCCGTATTTATTTATTTGTCAACTCGGAAAATATATGTTGGTTCAGATAAATAGAGAGGAGGCGGGGAGTGAAACCGCAGCCGCAACCGAAGCCCGCTCATTAAATATACAGCAGAGTGAAATGTCAACGTGGAAATTAATTAACTCGTCGCGAAAGCCGGGACTTTGGAGGCCGGGTGCAGAGAGGTCACATCGTCGGCGGAGCGGCGCTCATATTTCAATCAAAACTGCGACAGCTGCAAGCCAGCGGCATAAGCTCGAACATAATTTTGGCAACGGTCCATCAACTGTTTGGCCAGCTCGGTTCGGGCCAGATTTGCTGCTGCCACCTCGTGCCGCGCGGCCCATCAATATTTACAAGCGGCGAGCCCCGAATTTGTCACCCGAGCCGAGAGGGGCCGGAAAGTTAATTGCCAAATGACACATTTAATGCCGGAGCAGTCGCAAAAAGGCCGCAGGAACACACCCACACGCCGGGCCAAATTGACAGTTGGCGGGGGTAAGCGAAGTCGAGGCGGCTTAACCTCAAGATTAATGTACGGCAATTAAACGTTTAAGTGTTGATTAATGTGACTTTCTGTTTCTGTGGAAGCGAGCGGAGCAGAGGATTCTGCGGAGATGGCACTCGGCCAGCTGGCCTGTCAATCTCCCCGGGAGCGGAAAACTCAAGGAGCTTGGCCCCGCTTTTTCCATTTTCTCTGATTGTTTTCGCTCTCGTTCTCGTTCTTGTTCTCGTACTCGTACTCGTTCTTATTCTTGTTTTGTTTGCAGACTCGGATGGCCATAAATTCCTTGAGTAGGCACTGCAACAACTCAAACTCAAACGGCAAAGACATTCGCATTTATCATCTTTACGGGTTAACTGCCAAAAATGCTCCGGGCGCTCGGTGGCAAGTGGGTGGAGTGGAGTGGAACTGCTCCACGCCTCACCAAATCCACAAAGTCAAACAATGTTGTATGCTTTACTAGTTTTATCATTGCTGCTTTGGCTCTTGCTGCCATCGAGGTTTTCCCTCCCCTCCCCCTCCTCCTGGTGCTTTCCTCATTTTCTTTTATCCCGTTTCCCAGGGAAATTCAGCTGCATTTATCTTGTTGAGAAAGGTGAGCAGAGCACCGAGCATAAACTATGAATGTCAGATAAACAGCCGTCAGCTTCGCAGGAGCGGGCAAGCGGATCCGAAGGGTTCGCATTAGTGGGTGGCCGCATTTTTAAGCCATTAGGTCCTCGCCGCTTCCCGTTTTCCGTTTGCCGTTTTCCGTCCAAATCCAAATCATTCTCTCGGACTTCGACCCTCCATAAAGAGCGGGCTTTATTGGCTCGCCGAGCAATGGCATACTGTTTGGCGCAATCGTAAATTTAACTCAAACCGTCGGGGGAGAAATAAAAATGTAATTCGAGTTGCAACAGCGAGAAAGATAACAAAATATGCTAGTAAAATTAATAGGAGAACACTGGCTGGTATCTCGCTACATCCAAACAAAATTGAAATTTAAAGAACTTTTTGCTGCGCAAATTTGTGTTTTAATTAAATTGATGAGCAAAAACTGCTCGCAGTTATGTTATTACACATTTCACTAAATAAATCAAATTACAAATGATATTTTAGCGGCAAAATCAACACGTGCCTGGAAAATAAGTGCAACAAAGAGACTAAATAATATGAAATATACTGTACTTTATTGTACTTATTAAATAAATTATAGTCTTTTAAAACAAAATAAAAAATGTCGCCTGTTATGGCCTGAGCTCATGTCCCTGCTAATATTTAATTTACACGAAATGATTGTGTTACGACTGAAACTAAGTTTGCGATTACAGACAAACTCGGCACATCCATTCAGTACTGGACCAGATTTATCTCTCCAGCAATAAAATATTCAAGACACAAGCATCAACTTACGATTTGCTTGTCCCTGCACTTTTTCTACCAATTTCACAGATTTCCATCAGCCCGGCTCCTGCTGACAGGCGAATATCCTTGCAAGGAGCAGCGAGCCGAGGGGAATACAATGGCAACTTCTCGTGGCTGGCAAAACAAATGACTAGAGCAGATTACAGCAGCATTTCTGCTGATTTTCAAATGAAATTTTAATGAATGCACACACACCCGCATGCAGATATCCGAGAAACCCATGGCGGCGAGTGCCAGGAATCGGAACTGAACTGTTTTTTGTGCCATTCGTGCGTCAACGAAATGTGAAGTCTCTAGAGCGCCAAACAGCCAAAAATCTGTCTGTCTATTCCAGCCAAACGACCCCGAAGGCACTCCCACTTGTCCCCCAGTCAGGGTATGTATGTATTTATAACTGTTTGCATCCAGTACTTGGTAGATAAAACGTTATGCACAGTGGAGAAAAAGTCATTAAATAAAGTTTGAAGATCTCTGAGAATGATTTTTTGAATTTAAACGTATGTAAGTTGTTTTTCAATGGAACTACAAGATATATTATTTCCAGATCTCCCTACAAACTTGAATAGTATAGGATACTATTGTAGTCTAGGCCCCTCTGTTCGTCTGTGGCTGTGGCCCAGCCACTTAAATATTTATCAGGCAACTGCGAGACCTTCGGCGCAAAATGCAAAACTGCAAAACATTTGCGCCGCGTGTTCATTCACTAAATTAGTTGAAGCATACATCCGATAGATACGGCGCTCTGATGATGAATGAGCGGTCGGTTAATTGATACCGAAACGCGCAAATGAATTCCATTGTTCGCCGTTCGTTTTGGCCGAGAAGCCACCCTTTTGGCGGCCGCCGAACAGGAACAGGTAGTGGGCAATTAAAAGGGCTGGAGCGCGGATTTGCTCCTGATTCGGCGCCATTGTGTGCGAGCCGGAGCTGATGTCTTTAATTAAATTTGCCTTTAGCCGCAAATCCTTTTATGCCGCCGCCATTTTACTGGGCTTCCCTTTGGCATTTGACTTTCGCTGTGCTGCCGAGCGGATTCCAAGGATGCAGCCGCGATTGCCCTCCGGCGGCTCCAACTTTCCTCCGAACAGAGAACAGCCAACAGTGAACAGCGAACAGCGGCATCTTGTGATTTATTATTAAACATGAATATGAATTCCTGGATGTGCTAGGCGCCGGCTGGAGGGGATTGAGCAGCGGGAGCTGAGCGGCGCTGAGAAAAAGAAAGAGAAAAAGCTGGCGGGACCTGTTGGCATTTTTATGCCAGCGCTTTTATGATTAATTAAAATTTATGCCTGAGCAAATTAAGACCCGTTCGCATAGAACCAGAAGATATGCAGGCGAACGCGTATAAATATTCCTATTCAACGCGCCGGCATCAATTCCTTGTGGCCATCAAGTCGGGTGATTAAGATTAAGAGGATTGTCATAAAGAAGAACCCAATTTGGCCGACTAATTGGAGGCACTCGAGGGGCAAGTGGCGAGTGGCAAGTGGCGCGGAAAACCAAAACTATGCCGAATGCCTCTGGAAATCCGAAGGAAGGCCCGGAAAAAAGTGAGCGCATTTCATATTTATTAAAGCAATAAAATAAAGTAGGAACCAACACGGGCCGTTCCCTTCCGACACGAGAGCTGTTGGCCAGATAACGTGTCAGGGCCCAGAAAAATATCACTGTGTCACCCACACACGCACACGTCCCACACACATGGACACGCACGCACACAAGGCCACAACGCCATACCCACACACCCACACTGACACACTCCCACACACTTACATAAATTGAGGGAGCCATTGTTGCTTTGGTTGCGGTTAACGTGCAAATTTGTGGCCCCCCGTCACGATTGGCCTACGGATTTGGCCTAGGTCCCAGGGCAAGGATTCACCGGGAATAAGTAAGAAGGGCCGGGCCATAAATTTAAAATTAACCCTTTAGGAGCAAGGCTTCTGACCTTCGGCTGGCAGAAGCGTAGCGACACGACATAAATCCCGGGACTCAAAGCCCAAACGAGAGCAGCCGATCTCCTCGAGGGCTGCGAAATTAATCGCCTTTGCAGGTGGTCCATTTGTGCATTTTAAATCGGCAAGAATAATTCCATTCGGGGGATTAATTAATTGAATGAGTTTCGACTCTCAATCGAATCGAAATAATTCCAGCATATTGGCTGCGAACGATAAGGGATAACCGAACCCGAACCAGGGTTTTTTTGCGGACTTGTCAGTGGTGCAGCAGCCGCATGCCAAACAATAATAAATAAATGGGAAACACGACTTGGCCCTAGGCTCTTCGAGCAGGGCCAAAAAGAAAGTCGAATAAAACCGAAATGAGCGAGAGGAGCCGGAGGGCTGGAGGGCTGGCTCAAGTGGCTCCTCGCAGTCAAGACAATTCGAAAAATGCTTTTAAAAGGAAATCAGTAAAGGAATTTCGCTTATGGGCAACTGATTGTGCCATCGAATCGGGCGGAACAACTTGAACAAGTATCGGGGGGTTTTTGGGGGGTAAAAGCGGAAGGAAGGAAGCGATTTTTTTGTTTCTTTCTGCCACACTTGGAAAATTGAATTGTTTTAGATTTTCCTCCATTTTCGGTCCCTGCTCGACGCAGCTTATAAATCAAATTGGATTTTCTTGTGCACTTAACTCCGAACGGCCAATCGGAAGTGAGCCCAAAACTCAATCAAGGGCCGGCGATGAAAAGTTCATTAGTAGGCTGGCAGGCAAACGTTGGCAGCCATTTACTCAAGTAATCCATTGGAACCGTTCGAGAATGTCGTATATCCGAAATTTGCTGGAGCCGCCGAATGGCTGGACTCGCCTGAATCGCAATATCAACGAAATGAAGCGCCTGAGCAGCTGCTGTTATTTCTTCAGCCTGAAAACGGGCTGCAAACTAATAGCCTTATTCGAGGCTCTGGTCAACTTGATACAAATGTACTGTATCTTTGCGAAGGAAATGGATATGAATGTGGGGACTACGACAACGCAGTCATCGGATTCACTTTTTGTCACAAGGGAACCCGATGGGGAAATGCTCGGATCCAATACGGCAATGCCGATCTTCGAATTCAACACGTATTTCGCTAAGGCCCTAAATTCCTTGACTATTTTCAGGTCCATACTGCTCATTATCGGCGCGGAGTGTGTAAGTCTTTCCAAGGTATTGCCTGATAATATTTAATACTTTTTATATACTCCCCAGGGTCACACCTCCTGTCTAATCCTGTGGCTTTGCATCACTGCCATTACCCTGATGCTAAGCAGTCTCATTCATATTTTGCAAGATAACGACCTGCAGAATTTGCCGATTCGCACTATTTCAATTTGTAAGTGGGTTGGAATTTCAAATGTAATGCGTATCTTATTTTCTATTTTGCTTCGCTTTCAGTTCTTGAAATCTATTTCTGCGCAGTGGTTCTCTCGTTGGTGTTGAAATTACAGGAAAAACTTCGCCTTAATGTCCAGGAAACGGAAGTGCTTTACACACACAGCGGGGAAGCTTAGTTATATGCTAGATAATTTAATTGTACCCATGGTTTTGCTTTAACTGGATCAAGGTTGTACTTATTATATTTTTAAGAGGCATTCCTTATCTTTAAAAGCGAGTACACTTAATAAAATTAATAAAAAATGTGTTATATTTATTCGTATTCGTATTTGTATATCAAGACCATGAATATAGTATTTTATAAGTTCGCAGTCTAGTTTGTTTCTAGCTTAAATTAAACATAGTATTAGTATTTAAATAAATATTTCGCTAGCATGCCTGGCCTCTACAACCAATTTTTGAGCTAAATATGCACAGATTGCTACTTAAACATGCTGATATTATGGCTAAGTAATTGCATTTGCATTGGAAATCATGAAATACACACGCGCGGCGCGAAAACTTGCACATTTGCATGGGAAATTCACGCAAATGTACACAAAACTCGTGTATATATACGGATATATATATATATCGGGGAGTATCTCAAAAATTGATTGCACTGGCAAATTGGACAGGAAACAAAGGCTGAAACGCTCGTTATCGCGATAACGAGTACTTCATCGCCGAAAATGGGAAATGGAAACCAAATATTGGGAGTATCGAGTTCAAATTCTTACTTTGGCGTACGGCGACTTTTTGGGCGGTTCTCGCGAGGAGGAGGCCGCTGCTGCCGTGGGCGTGCCGCGCTTGTTGGGCCGATTCTTTTTGAGAACGATAACGCGCATGGTGGGCAGATATATATAATTTATTCGGATACAATGTGGGTTGGTTGGTGTTGGTGTGCGTGTGCGTGTGGCTCTCGGCTACTGCTATTTACGCAAAGTGTTCTAACTTAATTTCGAGGTGTCGCCGGGTTCGCTAGTCTCTGCTTTTCCCAAGTGTCGGCCGTTCACAAACGGGTTTCCACTCCTCGCGACATCGGAGGCGGATATTCAGATGCGGATGCGTATGCGAATGCGGATACGGATGCGGAGTGTGTTGTGGGTGGTTGGTATTTGGTAGTTGGTATTTGGTATCTGATAGTTGGTGGTTACAAGTGTACGGGTGCTATTGCGACTGCACCCACATTCGGGTGGTGCGGTGCAGGCACAAAGGTCACGAAATTACAAAATGCAAGCGAGCCGAGCCTCTAGCTCTAGATAGAATTTTACATAGTTGATGTTGCAATTACTGAGTAAGATAAGTCAAACTACATCTAGATTAGCAAAGAGTATTGGTTATTTACAGTACATACGAGTTTGTTGGCTAGAATTTGAGTTGTGTTTTTGCATTACTTTGCACTAGCTTCTGATGGGTGAGTTTGGCCAATCTGGGCCGCGAATTTCGACTACTGGCTAGAATGTTGGTAGTAGAAAGGCAAGCAAAAGATTCGAAGAAATTCTGGCAGTGCTACATAGAATCATCGCATCTTGTTTCCGATTCAAAATGCGAGCTCGTTCGGCGCACGGTGCGTATGCGTGATTGGTTAATAAAGCTAAGTATTTTACATGGACTGTCGACTAGTTGGTTGCATTACTGGATTGATCATCGTTTGGTTACTTACGCGCTGCACTCAATTCAATTCAATTCTTGTGTGGCTATCAGAATAGAGAACAACTCGCCTAGAAAAGCCTGCCCTGAACTGCGCTCTCTAAAATTAGGCATATATATTAGGGGACATATATATGAATGGTGTCTGTTTTGGGGATATATATTAATTATTTGTTTTCAGGTTTGTGTTTCTTTCGTAGTTTTTGTTCAGCTGGCCCTCCAGTGGCGCGATTGGCAGCCAATCACACCTCGGACGCGACGAAGAACGACGACGACGAGGCGTTCACAGACACGGATACGGATACGGTCGACGGTCTACGCTTTACGGCTTACGGACACGCTTTACGGCTACGGAACTACGGCTACGGCACTACGGCTACGGCTACGGCTAATTTGTCGAGCGGATCACCCAAGAACGGAGCTGGCGAGCCGCGTTTCGAATACGTCGGAGTGCAAGCACGTGACTGACTTGGAGCGACCGTTGCACGCTGCTTTTATAAACAGCGACATCGGGAAAGTCGGCCGAAAGGTCTGGCAACGCTTCGCATGCAATTTTCCGAGCGAGCTCTCTCGGTCTCTCTTTCCTTCTCACTGCCTTGCTCAAATCTTTTCCGAGCCTGGTTCGGCAACAGCTGATTCACTTGGAGGCTCCGAGGTTGAGGTTACAGTCACAGCCTGCTGGTTTTCCCACCCCGCCACACAGAAATCGTTGGTTAAAACCACAGAAAAACAAAGCAAGTCGCACTGCACAAAGAGGATTCTTAATTGGCAACCCCCAGTCCGAATCCAAACACACGCAACTGGGAAAATCCGGGGAAAATCAAGCCATACTGCCGCACTGACCACGCACAAGCTAATCTACCGCAGGACTAAGCGAAAGGCGAAGGACGAACCTAACCCACAGTTGGCTGCTGGCGGCTTTCCATGGCCCAAGGAGAGTGAGCGAGATGGCAAAACGCTTGGGTCACATGCGCAGTCAGCAATCAGCTGTTTGACCTACATACGAGCGCCAGTTCATCTGTACTTTCGAGCGTGCAAACGGGGGGGCGTGTCGGGACCCGACCCCGCCTAAGAACACATCAGATTTCTCGGCCGTGAAAAGTTCTCGTCGGAAAGCTGCCAGCAACAGGTATGTGGAAAGCTGAGCGAGAGCTTTCCGTTGGCCAAAACTTGATTTCAAAATGGTAACATTCCCTGCTTTTCCGGGAAGCAATTTCCCACTAAGCTTGAGAGCTTTTCACCTCTCCTTCATGAACTCACCTGAGCCCGTATGGCCGCCAAGTGAATCTGCTTGGCCCGCAGGTCGAACTTCTTCATGGACAAATCCTCCTGCAGCTCGTTGACCTTGTTGTACAGCTGACCCTCGATCCCGCGGGTTTGGGTTCGGTTCAGTGCCTCAATGGAGTCCTGCGGGTGGGAAAATAAGAAACACGCTCAAATTGATTGTAAACACGAGTAAAAATCCCTTTTAAAAGTAGGCTAGTTATAAACTTTTATCAGTGATTTTCGTATCTGAAATATTTTACAATAAGTAATCAATCGCTTGAAAATGTTAGAGGCAGTGAAAACTTTTTTTTGGGGACGAATTAGGTCCTTAAAGCGCAAGTTAAAATCTTTCCCTCGATTGCATACCGCCTTTTATTTCTTTGGATTGGAGAAGGGCTGCAGGATAATAGCAATTATTGAAGCCTTGATGAGCCTGGTGCAGATCCTAATCATACATCACCAACTCAGGGAATCGGGTCCTAGTTCAATGCTTCCGGATCCCCATTGGGTCACCAGAATGGATCAACAGGGCATAATTCGGAGGATTTTCCTTTATCGCACAACCCACTACTTCACCATGGGCCTCGATTTGGTCACGGTTCTCAATTCGATACTGCTTATTATCGGAAGCAAATGGGTGAGACTTATAAAAAGATACAACAAATTATGAAAATCCTTCTATTACTCTTATTCAGGGCTATCAAGTTTGCCTTTTCCTCTGGATATATAATTCAGTCTTTACGACTATTGTGACGAATCTCAATAATACCATGCGCAACTTTACTATTACGCAAGTTTTCTTAGCAGTGCCGTCAATAAGTAAGCCGAAATATAACGAATTGTATGGTTTCTAAATATAATGACCTTTGTGACCTTTTATAGCTCTTGAAACATATTATATGCTCATAGTGGCGTCATTAATTTCCAAGTTAAATGAAAAAGCCCATGATCGCAACTTGGAATCGGAAGGACTATCCTCGGAAAGCGACGAGCTGTAGAAAACTAAACCTAATCAAGTTTTCGAAAACACAAGTATTTTTTGGTTATTAGCAGAAAGCTCCAAATAAAAGCTATGGAAAGTCTTTAACCAGTTATTTTAAAAGCCAGTAAACATTTGTGTAACTGACAGGTCGTTTCGGTTTCTACGATTCATCTCACCTGCAGCTGGCGTATTTGCAATTCCAACTCGATGGCCTCTCGCTTCAGCGACTCCAACGCGGAGCGCTGTGACAAAGTGGAGTGGCGGTCGAAGACCAGCTCGTTCCGCAGGCAGGGCGTCATCTCCTGCAAAGGACATGTGGCCACAATACAATCACTTTGGCCCGAAGGACACATGCTCCGCCGGTTACTCACACTATGGTCGCCTGCCTCCTCGCCGAGCTCTCCTTGGGGCGATGCAAACACTCTTCTGGGGATCTTCTGGGCCTGCGATGGTTGGGCCAACAGGCGGACGAAGTTCACCAGATCCTGCTGGGGCGAGACCGCTCCGCACTGGTTTGTCAGGCTGATGTACCGCTTGGCTTGGTCGTTGGCCTGGGGAAGATCAGAGATCATAACTATTTCAGCCTCAAATGAAAGAGTAACACCTTTAAGTATTTGGTATATTCCCGCTTTTCATAACCATACTTCATTTTAATTTAATTCTTTAAGGCTTTCACGAATAAAGGTACGACATGCTACTAAATTATTATCCTAAATCTGCCTTTCAGACATCCATATTTTTTGCATTTACCCCCAGGCCCAACTAGCATAAATGTGTGGGCATCATTAGAGGGGTCCGCCCACGCATTAGGCAAATTACCACGGCAAATTGCTACTCCGGGCAATTATTATAATCGTGTACAAATTATTTCGCGGAAACAAAGGGCGCCGCGAGAAATGAACTCGAATTCCAGGTGCCACTGCCGCCCCGCCCCGCCTGCGACATTGTGTGGCACAACCACCTGCTGCAGCGATAAATCACTGGTCGGCGGGCACTCACCTTGCCGGCAATTACTTCGGCGCCCTGCATCAGCGAGTCGGACACAATGGCGACCAGGTCGTTGTGGATCTCCTCCAGCTCCTGCATCTGCTGGGGCAGGGTGTCCGTGTGGTAGGCCTCCAGCATGCCATTCGTGGCATGCAGCTGCTGCACGTACGCATTGTGGGCGTCGATGTATTCGGTGAGCGAGTGCTGGCTGGGATTCTGTCGGTGGGCCAGGTGGCACTGCTTGTAATCCACGCGGCACTGGGGAAAATGGGAAACGGGGAAAGAAGAGTTAGATGGTCAATCGGGGCTGTATGGCCAATTTATGGGTAATCACAGAAAAGGGTGAATGGGCACACGCACAATAGACGGCATTTCGCAGGCAATTCGAACGGCCCACATTGCGTATGCGTATTGTGTTGCTCGAACAGAACTTTAAGGCGGCTTAAAGGCCTGCTCGGTGGGATTTCTCCTGGGAGTTCGAATACTCAAGGCTCCCTGCTAATTAAACTCACCTTTGACAGCTTCTCTTCAGTCTTTGCGATAATAGTCTCAAAAGACTCCCTGTGTGTGAATATTTTACGGCTTTGAACTTTGCGATGAAAGGATTTATCCAGCATTGGTCGCGACACCTGCGGGTTGGGGTAGGGGTAAATAAATTATGTATGGCATATTTTTTGTGGGTCGCGCCGACGCTTGGTACAAAAAGGGCAAATCATCGTGAAAAATGAAAATTAAATGCGTGCGCCAAACAAAACAAAGCAAACACGGCGCGAAACAACATTATTCGGTACTCGAAAAACACATGTCATTTCCCAGAGCCCCACAGCGCCACGCCCCCTAGTAATTAACCATAATTAGAGTCTGCTTTTTATAATGCAAATTGGGAATTTTTTGTGCGGCCCGAAGGCCACACACACATGCGGTTTACTCGTCCGATCGATGCGGTAACTGGTACAAATAAAATCATACATTATCATATTTTATTATTAATAGAAATCTGCCTATTGTTTCTAAGGGCAGCAGGGAAAGCGAATTCCGCCTGGATGGCTGCATTAATTTAATTAAAAGTCTTCTGGGGCAAGTGCAGGCAATGAATATCGATTCTACTTCCAAAAGGGGCCAGCTGAATATTTAACGCGACACGATATTGCCATTAAGCCATTCGGTTTTCGGTTTTCGGCTTTCAGCTTTCGGCAACTTTCGACGATGAAAAGTGTAATTTAAGGCACTCACCTGGCGGGAAAGGACGCTGGCCACATCGTTGCAGGCCTGTGAATCGGTTTCGACCTCCTGCAGGAATGTTTCCCATGCCTGAAAGATGGCCAAATGGCAGGCGGGTCTGCACGCCACCCGCAACCGTTGGTATTAACTGGGCTGGAATGTCGTTTGGGCCACTTACCTTTCTTTGCGTAATTCGGCATTCTTCTTGCGATAATTGGACACCGCAACTTGGAGGGCAGTTGCGTGTTCCTCGTACAGACGGGAGAGAGTTTCGGAGAAATCGGATACTGTAATTGAATTAGTTGGGTGAGTACTGCTAACTGAAGCCCAGTGGCAGTCGTGGTTTATGACGGCCACGAGCTGCATTAGATAAAGCAAAAGCGCCGGAAACGGAAATGCATAGAGGGAGCAACTTCCTGTTGAAGTCTTTGTACGAATATTGTTCCTTCGCTCTGAGAACTGAAGGTTGCACTTGGGTATTCAGGCAAAACAGAAAGCTTATTTATTCATGCTCTCACGACTCATAAATATTTTCTGGAGTGTGAGGTGTTTCTGCCAGAGTTTAAGCGAGACATTTACTTTGTTTTCCGCGGGAAAACACTCCAATTTATGCGCTGTAAAGCGCGAAAAGCCAGCCTCTTTAAAAGGAAGCACTGCCTGTTGGATAATCCATCATGTTTACGGTTATTCAGGCACATATGAATATGGATGGTTGGCTCGGCTGGCCTTCAGCCTCTCAACCTGAGGGTTTATGGGCCAAACGTTTTACGGCCGGAGAGATACGCGTTTATAGTGCCCCGGCAACAGGTTGTCCTGTTAGAGGACTCCCAAGTACGTCGTGTAGCTGCGTGTAGCAACTTTAATTTAATCAATAGTTTGCTTTGGCATACTGATTTCACATGCAGCTCGCTGCGAAAATGTTATTAAAAACTTTTGATGCTACGAACTGGAAACTCCGCCGTATGCAAGTGCCAAAGGTGACATCCGCCGGGACAACTTTCTGTGACAGCGCCGTAATTCAAAGTCAAAGTTATGTCGAAAAGTTGCAGCTGTGCCGGAGATTGTTCGGGGCAAACACACTCAAGTTGGGTGGCGAATTTACGAGGCGGTTGCCTTTGCTCAGATTTATGTCTCAATCCGACGGCCGACAAGGACAATTGACAATCGAAATCAATAAGCCGTAGAGGCGACAACGGAAACTTATCAAATAAAACGCTGCCACGTAGATTGCTTTCTGTTTTCCCTTTCGGGGGAGGCCTAAGCCAGCGAACCAGCCCGCTTTGGGCCACCTGGCGAGCGTGTCAGGTGTGAAAGGTCGAGCTCGACAGGTGTACTCCCGAGTGGCGGTTGTGTTATGAATTGGATCCGACTTACATGCGCCGAATAGATTGACTTTCGCTGCTCACCTGTTTTAATTAACTTAAAGTTGACGTTGTTCTGGGACTTGAACGCCTCGTTCAGACTGCTGTGACTGTAATCCTTGAGCACGCCGTTGTAGGACGCCATCCTGCCGCCCGAGGGGCTAAGGGAACCACCGCGTGGCCCCCTCCACCCGAAGATCCTCCGCCTACGACTTCTTCGACCACTTGAAGATTTTCCCGAAGAACCTGCCAAGGGGCCGACAATTGCGTTATTACTCATCTGGCTTGAAAAATGCTATCGGTTTTTCACTCAAACCAGGAATTAATCAACTCGCAAAACCAAACAATTAAAGGAAAAAACAAACAGAACGCAACGAAAATTCCAAACAAAACGAACCGAATTGAAAGCAAACAAATGAAAATTTTCAAACGAAATGTGATTTGATTTCGGTGGATGGGGCAAAGTATCTGTCTGGCGATGTCAGGAATTATTTTGGCCACGCCGTGATAAATACACGAGTCACTTCTCCGCCCCGCCCCTTCCCTCCCCCTCCCCCCTCCCTCCTCCCCCCTCCCACTTGGCCAATCAAACAGATCGCTGCCGCTTGTATTTATGCATAAATAATGAGTGGAGGCAGCACTCTGTATTCCTTTCGCTTCTATTTTCGTTCTGGGCCAAGGCGGAAATTCGAGTGTTTCGGGCCAAGACAGCTCCTAAACCCGAGCCCCATTACCAGAGTCAACAAGAGGCCCACACAGAAGCGGTCAAAATTATGGTACTACAGTTCAACTGAATACTGATATTTATGTTTATCAAACTCGGCAACTATTTAAGGCTTTAACATTAATTTAATAAGCATTATACATTTTTCCAATCAATCCATTTTTTAAATGTAAGGGGCTTGCGTAATAAACATTATGCTTTTATACAATACAAAATCTAATCGTATATTTAACATTTTTTGCAACTGTTTGAACTGTTTTATTCACTTTTTTCTAAGCACAGATATTGAAGTACTATAACTTTAGGCGCAACTGTACTGGGTGGGTTATTTTGGCCTGCTGGTCTTTGGTCTTTGCTCATTCGGCCTGCAGTTGGCGGCCAAAGTCAAAGTCGGGCAGATGGGAGTCCGTCCCTTCATTTAAAATTCAATCAATAAATGAAGCGTAATTTCATTGCCGCGGCGAGAGTCGAGATTTCGTTTGAACACACTGGCAGCTAAAAAGGCCCGAGGGCCCGTTCGTTTGGTGAGTCCTGTGATTGTTTCAGTTCAGAGGGGCGGCCCCTCCGCCACACAAGTCCTGCCAGTCCAAGAGTCCAAAGTGTCTGTCTTGGCCGCGTTTGTTTGCCCACGCTCACACAAGGCTCAATTACTGTCAGACGAGTTGGCTAAATGAAATATGCAGGAGCTGCAGCGCATTGCCACCAGAGTGAGCTGTAGAAATTATTAAGGGACTGCATGAGTTGGTCAGCGCCTCATCCCTTTCGAAGCGGGGAAATAAACAAGGCGTGTCCGAGATTGCCGGCGAT